GGAGAGACGCGGTGGCGCCACGCCGCCGCCCAGCTCGCGCTCCCCTCAGCACCTCCCTCGGCACAGCAGCTCGGGACTCCGGGCTAGACCCCCAGCGCGCATGCGCCAAGCGCTCTCGGGCCGGGGACAAAGGACCCGGATGACACCTCCCCCGCCCCCTCTCCCGCCGGGTTTGCGCCTCACCTTCCTCAGCCGCTCCATGAGAACGCTCTTGTTGCCGCCGCTGTCTAGGTTACGGCGTTTGAGCTCGGCCCGCAGGTCGATGACTCGCAGCTCGCTCAGCCGCCGGGTTTCGGGTTCTGAGCCGAGAGCCGCGGCCCCACCAAGGGATGTGAAGTCCCCCAGGCCGGCCGCTGATTGACTCTCCGCCATCAAGGCCCCTTCGGTGTTCCTTCTTAAGCCCGAACGCACGGGAGAATACGGCACAATCAAGCAGCTAACCTTGCGATCACAGCACAAAATGGTGGGGAGGCCAAGACGTGCCGAGGGGACGGGGAAAAAGCCCGCTACGCGCAGGCTCGGAGAGAAGGACGACGACGAGCAGGGGGGAGGGAGAAGGCGGGGCCTGGAAGACAACTGGAATGACAACTCTTGCGCAGGCGCAGGCGGCGTCGCCCGCGTCTAAGGACGGCTCGAGAGCTCTCGTGCATGCGTCCGAGGGCCGAAACAGATTGCGGTTGCTCATTCCTGCAGTGAGGTAGTCAAAGGAGCTAGTGCGCATGCGCATCGGCAAAGCCGGCTCCGGAGTGGCGCGCCCCCCCCCCCAGCCTCTCTGGGCTTTCTGGTCAACGCGCGTGCGGGCTGCGGTTCCTTTGCTTCCCTCCCCCTTTCTCTTCAGTGCGTTTCGGTTTTGCCACCATTTTGTGCTGCAACTGCGGCTTTTCGCCGTTGTTTTTATCCCGCCTTGCTCCGTGCGTGCGAGTTAAAAAAACGGCCCCATGGCGGAGAGTCAGTCAGCGGCCGGGCAAGGAGAATCTGCGTCTCTGGGTGGGTCTGGAGTTTCCAGTTCGGAGTCTGAAAACCGGCGGCGGCTGAGCGAGCTGCGCGTGATAGACTTGCGGGCTGAACTCAAGCGCCGCAATTTGGACAGCGGTGGAAACAAGAGTGTCCTCACGGAGCGACTCAGGAAGGTGAGCAGGGAGGCGCGCCGGGGCTGCCTGAGGGGGAGGCGTAGCCGGCGCGTGCGCGACCTTAGCTCGCCAGGCACTGCTGAGGAAAATGGCGCCAAACGACGGTAGAGCGGAGGGAATGGGGCTGCGGGGAACAGGGGGTGTGCGCCGGGCTCTGGGGGTGGTTCCGTGGAGCCTACCAGGCCCAATGCGAGCGTTCCGTGCGTGGCGAGCGTGGCCCCGTACTTGGCCGTCCCAGGCTCGCCCCTGAGACCTCCGGTCTCGTGTAGTAGCCGTGGGGTGTATGTGTGCGAGTCTGGCGTTTCTGTCTACGCAGCGAGCCCCCCTCCGGTTTCCTAGACCTGCACAGCACAGCGTGTCTGCCGTGGCACTCGGCCTAAGTGTTTCTAGCCTCATGCCTCACTGGGCTTTTCGCCATGCATTGAGCTTCTGGATTTACAGTTCTATACACTGTCTACTAGGTTTTTTGCTGCGTATTGATTTTTTTCCTGGCTTTCTAGCTGGTAGCCTGTACGCTGTATCCTCATCAGAATGTTTGGTATGTTAGTAGTATGCGGACCGCCTTCATTGAACTGATGCCTGCTGTCTCCTAGAGCCGAGTTTCTTACTCTGTCGCAGCGCCCCGGGTATCTGTGTGCACTGCTGTTGCAAACGCTGTAGGATTGGCTTTTTTTGTCTATAGGTTATGCTGCTGACTGCTTTCCAGAAACTTTACACCAACACGTTACTGTTTCCTGTGCGCTTGTTGTTTTGATCTGGTGGTCTTTGGTTTGCATATCTTAAGTTTCTGGTGTCTAATTCAAAGCGCTAGGTTCTCGTTTTGGTATTTTTCTGCCTCTGGTGTCCAGCTCTTATACTCGACAGAAATGCACGAATGGAATTTTTATGTCTGTCTTGACATCTATCTTTATCTTTTCCCCTTAATAGGCTATTGAGGAGGAAGGGGGGAATCCTGATGAAATTCCAGTGGTTTCAGAAAATATCATGAAGAAAACTCCAAAAAGAAGCAGCAAAGGTACAGGGCAGTTAGAGAGGATGTCTACCCCATCCCCCTTGAGTTTTCTAGCAACTTTTACTCATTAAATGGAACCTTGCTAATCTTTTTTCTGAAGTCTGCTTTTTCTTTTGGAAAAGTGCTTGGTTTAATTTTGGCACTGTTGCTGAATGTTTTGCAGTCCCAAAGCTATAGCTAACATTACTTGCCTGAGCCAGATTTGGGTAAAACTTCTTCTCTGGAAGAAACTAAACAGTTGAATCTTTTGTTTCTTGGTTCTGACCTTTAATGCCGTATGTTACTGGTACTCTTCCCCGCATTTGTGCTCAGGTTTCTAGGGATGGATGGTGTGGTATTAAACTTACTGGTCATTTATTCACAGAACTTCATGTAATTTAATGAGACAGGAATTGGTCCACTTGAAGGATCTGTTGGTTTGTTCTTAGAGTTCCCTGAAGTTTGTAGCGGGGACTACTAAGTAATGCTGAAGCAGTGTCAATGTTTTTAAAATAGATAATTGGTTTTTTATGTGATCGTACCTTTGCTTTTGAGAAATACAAGGGCGTTTTTTTGAGGTAGAAATGCAGAGTTTCTAGCAAATTCAAAGTAACCTCTGTAGTGTTATGTTTATGCCTCATAGCTAATAGCGGTCTCATTTTTGTCCCCAGAAGACTAGTTTTTAGTCAATATCTGAAATTGGATATCTTTTTAAGGCTTTCTCTATGCATGATTTTTCTAATGGTGAGACATAGTCTTACATAATCCTTATTTTTAAAAAATAATTTGCTCTTCTTCTGAAGTTAGTTAATTAGCACAGTTTGATCTTATTTTGTAATCAAATAATGTTGTAACTTACTTTCGTATTAGAACCGAGGAGAATAACTAGTTTAGATGAAGGATTATAATTAAATTATTAATTTTGATTTACACAAAATGTAAATTTGTGAGATGAAGCTCAAATGTTGTGCCAACTAATTTGTATGACAGATTTTTGTTGTTACATCCAATTTGGAGTGATGTTACATTTGCTTGCAAACTAAAATGTGGAATCTTAACTGGAAAGAGAACAAATGTCACAACTGGGGGTAAAAGCAGAGACATCTTTCATAACCACGTTCATTTTCAAGTCTCGGAAAAATACCTAACATATGTTATAGCACTTCTAGTGTTGGGATGGAAATAGATGAGATGTTCCTCTTAGCTCTAAAACCCCTTTCCCTTCTTTATTGTAATGTGCTTGTAGTTTTCGAGGAAAATAACATTCGTAAAAGATGAAACAACTACTTAGCTCTGAGTTTTAGGAGTTACTTTTTGGTGCTGAAACTAGCGTACTGTTGTCAGTAATGTCAGTTCCAATACTATGTGTCCAGCTGGTGAATCGAGCACTGCAGTAATGCTTACAGGTAGAGTGGGTTTTTTTCATTGTTTTGTGTTGGGTTTTTTGTTTGGTTGCTTTTTTCTTTTTTCTTTCCAGTAAATGTCTGTAAAGAAATGAAAGGTTGAGCTAATAAATTACTGCAATCTCAGCTGAGCAAATGTTCTGGGGAGTGCACAGTGGTGCTTCTTGAACTCGTGACAGACCTCAGACTGTAGTATGTTTGTCAGTTACTGAACTGGGATGGTATATAAACACTCAGTTGTGTTCAAGGAAAAAGCAGATAACTAAACCGAATGGAATACCAACTCTGATGAAAAAATAAAACTTGAAGGATACATATTGTTACCTTCTTTTCATTCTAACGATCATAATGTTGTTAGGACGTAGACCAGATGAGGAGGGAGTAGAAGATAATGGCCTGGAAGAGGATTCGGGAGATGGACAGGTATGTAAGGCTGTGTTTGAAGTGAAGTAATGATAGCATTGCTTTCAAGTTACAATGACTATTATATATACTTTTTTTCTTTTTACAGGAGGATATTGAAGCAAGTTTGGATAACTTGCAGGATATTGACATGATGGATATTAGTGTGTTAGATGAAGCTGAAATAGATAATGGCAATGCGGTAGATTGCGGAGAGGATTACAGTGCTGATAATATTCTTGACTCACTGTCTGATAGTAAAGAAAATGCTGATGCAGAAGTGAAAGAACTTCCAGATCAGCCTACAGAATATGCTGTAGGTAACTTGGAGGCATCCCCACAATTTTCAGAAATTAAAGAAGAATCAAGAGAAATACCAGTAGTGATGGTATGCATCTCTTATATGTGTGGAATCAGATTCTTTTTTCCTTTTTTTTTTTTTTTTTTAATTAAATAGCAGAACAGTAGTTAAAGAGTATTTGAAACAATTTGGGGTTCTACCAGTTCTCATGGTCATTGCTTTTTCTTCTTCTACATATTTGTGGAAATAGCATTCTTGATTTTAAAATGTTTAGATGTTGTTTGTGCACGTACGACTGTACAAATCAGTAGTAATCCAGAAAGCATTCGTTTTAATCATGCTTTGAACTCTCTGCTTGACCTTATGTTTACATTCCCATTTTCATATCTTTCCTTTATTTAGGAGGACATGTGAGGCATACAAATGCTGTAGCCTTATTCACTTCAGCTGAACAGCAACATTCTGGGAACTATATTCTAGATTATTTTTCTGTTAAGATAGGGTCTCGCAGTTAGTCAGTTGTTGAAAGTATTTTTGTGTTGGCTTTCCGTGTTCGTCTGTCTGTTGCACTGCTTATATGACATTGTCCATCTGGGCTAGAAGATAATTTTTTTCCCCAAAGTCAAGTGTTTATCTCCTGAAATGTACAACAAAGCATTTGAATAAAGTTATTTCTGCCCCATCTAATAGGGAAGCATAGCTCTTTGTTGTGTGTGCACATTGTGTCATCAGTCTGGACTGTAAGATTCTAAAG